AAAGATCTACACTCAACAAATGATCAATAAAACATCTTCACTCCTTAACAACAATACCAAACCTGTTTAAACTCGTTCATAACCAGTTTCTAATCAAAAATTTCCACACCCAATAACATTTCCTTTATCACAATACTCACACACTAACAATAACAATAACAACAATTACAATTGACTGACACATATTGGATTGGGAGAGTGCGTGACTGTGCCCTGCGTGGGTTCCAGTAATCTTTAACTAAAAAAAGCACCAAAATAACACAACAAGATTGGAGCAGGCTTCATATCCGACTTACTACTATTTCAACTATACCACCAACTTACAAACCACACAACTTTCCACAATTATCGTTAACAATGGAGTTGTAACCCACGAGCAGCAATGCTACCGTTAAAGAAAAAAGGTAGCCTAAGCCTAACCAATATGGATGAAAGCAAATACTTTCATCATGAGTGGAAGTAAAATATCAGGGAATTACACCCCATAATCTGGCAGCCTAAGCCAGTGCTCCTCTACTGCTGCTGGAGTCACGTCCAGCTATCGAAAAGGAAGCGGTAACCTAGGTAGACACATTTGGTTTGTGCCCTGCGGAAGGGATTGTTGATCCATAGATAATATGTCTCCAAACTCCAACACATATCACCTCTATTAACTATTCCACCCAAAACACACCCAACTATATATGGTTTCGGGGAGTGCAAAACCCTGAACATATATAGTGATTTCACGCCTACACATTTTATCTTTCAAATTACCAAACTGACACACTCTTTTAATTAAGGCGATCTTGCCCCTCTTTTTTTATATAGATATTAATATTGTAGATAGTTCCTTTCTTACTTTTCCCTGCCTCAGGGTTTTTTATCTAGAAATATATCTACTACGATAGGTGGTAGACTAATATGTACATATTTGTCCATATATCTCATATCTTAAATTAACTATGTAATAATAACAAATTACAACATTAATAAAGATCATGAGACACGTCTCACCTTAACATTAAAAAAAAGATAATGGATTGTGTACTGTTGTTCCTATAGGTGAATAGAAAAATGGATACTTAATTTTTTTATATTTGGATCTTAGATTAAAATTGATAAAGGGCAAGTAGTTATGTTTAGATCTGATTTATTAATTTATGGTAATTCATCTGCTCAAGGTGTTTATTTTTCTATAGTTTTTTTTTTCATAAAAATACTTTTAAAAATTAAATATTATTATAATAAATAAATAAATATTTTATTTTTAAAAAATAAAAAAATATAATTTAATATTAAAAATATATTAATTAAACTTAGTTAATTTTAAATATTATTAAAAATAAAATATAATTAAAAACTCTCTCCTGATTATATCTGTTTTGTTAAAAATTTTCCTTTTATAGTAATTTTAAGCAATAAAAAATGTTTTATACTCTTTATCGCAAGTGAGCCCCAGCTCAAGAACTCAAGAACCTTCAAGACAACTGGTGCAGTAGGATGGGACCTCTGGTCAAAGTCTATTCAAGTTTGGGAATCTTGCTTATCCTTCAGTTGCATGAGAAAAGGCCTGTGGCAGTTCTCTTTTCTTTAGTTTTCTTGCACCCCACCTTACTCTTATTATATCATAAAAACCATACATATTATCACCATTATACTCACTAAATCAAACACTTTCCAAAACACATCTACAAATAGAATTAGTAGGTCTACTGTTTGTTTTAAGTCAATCCACATATACAATACTTTCGTAACAATATTTGCTGCGCCATTTTCATTTTCCAAAAAATTTTTATCCAAAAAACTGAAATCAGTTTACCCCCTTAAGATAATCTGTCTTCTCAATTATCCAATCAGATTTCACTTAAAGATCAAAACAAAACTCGATCAAGCTTAAACCGGTTTTGTATCACAATAATAATCACAACAACAACAATAACTAACACACTACCAACAACTATAACAATAAATAACATTATGTATACTCTATTATATATGGTAATCGACGAGCCGGAGAGATGGGACAATGAGCCTGTCCGGGGGCTTTCGAGAGGAAATAGTAGTTTTCTACCTATAGATTATAGTTTACTTAACATAGTTCTAACTATAGTTATTTTTATTTTTATTTTCAATTTTTTACATTTAAAAAAATTAAAAGAATTCGTAAAATTTTTTAAGTAGATAGGCATAGCTGCTATTCAGGCACAGCCAGTATATAGTATTGTTTTGAATTTCTTTTTCAATATTAGCTAGATGTATTTGCGTAGGCAGGCTAGCATTTAACTTGCTACACATGTATGTAAAAGATGCTGTTTCTTTTATGATGTATACCATGTTATATACAATATCAAATAAAGAAATGATGCTTACCTATAAGGGAAAACCTCCCCCCAAAAAAAATTATATTAATTAAATTTATACTACTATTATTAGAAAAGTTTTAATTTTTTTTATATAAATATTAAAGAATAGATTTTTTTGTTTGATTTTTAATAAATTTAAAATATTGACTATTATAAATTTAGAAATTTATATTAGTAAATATAAAGCAAAAGTTTTATTTGTTAATTGAATTTAACTAAAATAATAAATTTATTATTATATACAAATATATATATATAACTATAACAAAAAAATTTTAACAAAAAACTCTTACCCATTTACTACTGATTTCTTGAAAATGTCTTTTTATAGTAATTTTTTTGAAAGAAGCACTTTTCTCTTTCTTTTCAATATATTAACTATGTAATAAGCTTAAAACAAAACATCAACTTTGATCTTCTTAATACACAATAGAAAAAACAGTATAAGTCCAAAATAGAAATTCAAAAAGAATAGCATAACAAAATAAAAGAAAAAATAAATATAGATAAACTTAAAAAGGTATTGCACAAACTTTTCAATAATAAAGCAAATGGTTTAACCAAGATTAAATACAAAATACTTCAAAATTTAGATTCAAAAGCAACAAAAATAATTTGTAACCTTTTTAATTTATTCCTGAAATATGACATCACATCATTCACTTGAAAAAACAGTCTCTTATATCCAATATTCAATGGAAAAGAATAGCAAGAAGATCTAAATAATACCAAATCCATTATACTTCTAGAAGTAACAAGAAAATACTTTACAAAAATTATCAATAACTGATTGATAACAATTTATAAGACCAAGAATATTTTAAAAAATCAAACTTTGCTAAACTGCTAGAAAAAAATATTCAGAACCAATTCAGTTCTTAAACAATATCTGTAAAAATACAAGAGAAAAAAAGAAAGAGCTTTGAATTATATTTTAATACTAGCAAAAATATATAATACAGTCAGTTTAATAATGTTTGAAAAAGCTTTACAAAGAATAAAAATTTTATTCAAAATTATTAGATTAAAATTGAAGCCATTTACAAATAGAACAATCAAGGTAATTACAAATATAGGTTTTACTAAAAAAATAATAGTAGATGATAGAATTAATCAAGGAGAAACAATCTTTTCTTTATTTTGGAAAATATTTTATGACTTCTTTTTATGTAAAATTCAAGAAAATCAGACCTTAAAATACAACATAAACTGTACTTAATCAATGAATTTCAATAAAATAATTCAAAACAAAAAAAACATAAAAAAGCTTTTCATCAAACAGGCAGTGATAGTATTTATGAATAACACAACATAAATTGCTCAATCTAAACAAGATATAAATCACATTCTAAAAAGGACAAACCAGTTCTATGCAGTTAACAACTCTCAAATTAATAGTAAAAAATCTGTGCTAATAACAATCAATAGCAAAAACAAAGAGCCAAACAAAGTACAAATAAGATTTAATCAAAAGAATATTATAAAACTGGACTAAAAATATTACTTCAACTTTTTAGAAGTCTAGCTTGAAAACAAGTATCATATCAAAGATACAATTTGCAGAATTTAACAAGAAATTCAATTAGTAATATCTATTCTTAAAAGGAAAAAAATTACAGGTCAAGTCTTTTTGCTTCTCCAAGTTGAAATAAACTTTACAATTTCATTAAAGATTCTATTAATAAACTTATCAAGAAAACAAAAGCTAACATAATTTCAAAATATCATTATACAAATATCAAAAAAAAAAAAAACTCAAAAAAACAAACAAGAAGTGTGATTTCAAAAACAAAAAGAATTAATCAGTAATCTAACTCCCAATTATTTACTTATACTATATTCAATGTTCAAACTATAATAGTATGATATCCAATATTCTTTCATTTCCCGGTACGTCCAGGTTAATATGTTTAATATTTTATATTTCTAATATTAATTTAAGAAAATTGATCTACTGAAACCTTAAGTCGGTTATACTTTTTTGTTAATTTAATAGGTATACGAATACAATTTTATTAAAGGTGTTACGTCTTTATAAGTAAAAAATGGACGAGTTAATACATTAATAGTTATACGTTCACAAATTCATCAAAATTATATTAACATAGCTAAATGCTCAATAAAAAAATGTTATTTTCTCTGCATTACGTACATGTAACTAGGAGAGAATACACATTCGATATTACAGCGATATAATACAAAGATATGTACATGCGCAGAAAACGATTGTAAAGCTAGAAATTTATGAAAAAATTTCCTTATTGTTTACTATTCCAGGCAGGCATTCAATATTTATTAGCATATATAATGCTATTTAATATTATGAGTATATTTACATATTTAATCTTCACAATTTTGATTTCTTAACTTCTTGATACTGCTTCATTGCTACTTAGTTGTGCTTGGGGAAATGAAGAAACTGTTATACACGGTAAAAACGATTTTTTTCCTCTGATTAAGGTTGTAGTTCAGATTCCGATAATTTTTTTGCCAATTCCAACAGATATGGTCCTACGGTGAGAGCATTCAGCTGCTCAGTAACTCCCGCCTGATTATCATCAAGCATAATGTCATTTAATATTGGTAACAATGTCCGATGAATATCTTCCACCTGATCCCTTAATTCTTTGTTACGATCTGTGATTGTTTTTAGTTCGGATTTCTTTTTTTCCGAAAGTCTTTTTGCTGCAGCAGCTTGTGTTGTTTCCATCATTTTTTTTTCAATAAGTTTACGTTCTGTAATTTCTAGTTGTTTCAATTCCGACTCTTGTTCTTTTCAATGAAAAAGATGATAATCAAGTTAATTCATTAATTTAAACAGAAGCAAATTAATCACAAGGATAAACGATCGAAATGGTTTTTTAATCACCCTCATGATACTCATTAAATTGTTCTGAGAAAATTTGAAACGGGACATCAAGTTTTCTCAATCTATAATCTATAATAATAAAAATCCAATAAGGAAAATGACAGAAAAAAAAAAGAATACGAATGACTTAAATAAATCGCGCATACTTGGCGGGAAGTATGGTGGATAAAATTGGTGACTTGGATAATTTAAACGATCCATTTGGCATTGGTGTGGATTTGGGCATGGATTGTGCCGACATGAATATGGCTATCGAGATAACGCATTGTTATTAATTACGCGATCAATAGTCGCAGAAAAAACGATCGATATTTTTCATTATTGAATACGCATACCGCGAAGCGTACTTGTGAATTATCTGATGAAGGTGACATTCTTCGGCCGTCTTGCCTAATTTGTGACCTGTCACTTGGTGATCCTTGTTCGTTTACTCCATTTGTACCACTTAAGCCATTTGTTCCATCGGAGCCATTGGAGCTAATGCCGTTGACATTACCATTCATGCTATTTGAAAGGGGTCCATTGAATGTGTCATTTGTTCCGTTCGTAACGTCCGGATAACTTCCATTCGCATCCTCAGGAAAAACCCCGTCCATTCCATTAGAAAAAGAACTATTCATGTCGTTTATGAAAGTAACATCAAAGGAACTGTCTGCGCAATTGGAACTGTCGACACCATTGGAACCTTCGGCTCTATTCACATCAACACTAGAATCGCCAACCTCATTCACATCAGTATGAGGCTCGTTTATATGATTGTCTCCGTTACCGATCCCGTTAGATCTCTTACGACTTCTACTTTTTTTACTAACTTGCTTCCCTTTTTTATTATCCCCTCGGCGGTTATCCTGATTATCATCATATTCAGAGGATGCCAATCCATCGAAGTTATTATCACCATCAAAATCACCACCTGGCTCGTAATTGTCTATTGGTTCGTCATACATAACAGAAATTGCAAATTATACAAAAATGATTAATTTTTTACTCGGGATAACAAAAAGTTCGTTTTAATACCATCAGATCCATCTTCTGATGTGTCGCTAGTATCTGGGGGAACGTCGTCTTCACAAAGAACGAAATCTTCGTCTGACTCTTCGTCATAATTGTCGGAGTCAGCGTCACCAAAATACCAATCTTTGCTACTCATGTTAAATGACCTTTACAGTTTTGTATAGGGGTGAAAGCTTTTACGCAGGTGACGTTTGCTCTAGTTATAAATAGTTAGTCGGAAATTTGTTTTATAGATTTCTCAGATCTTACAGTGTTTGGGTGTAAATGCAATTTTTTTTATAATGAAAAAATTAAGTATCCGACCGATTTGCCGTATTTGACCGTCGCATGCACGGACTATGATTGGACAAAAAAAAATTTTATTGTCAATCTTCCCTTTTTTTTGATGACATTCTTTGATATTTGCTTCTTTGTTTTGATCTATTTTTTGGTTTGTTTAGGTTATCAATTTAACAATAAAGATACAGAAAAACCAAATCACATGACTCGACAAAATTTTGCACATTTCGAAGAATGGAATCACAGTAAAATTACTTGTGTAAAAAGTTTTTACTTATTTCTTTTAATCAAACGTAACAAAAAAAAAAGTAAAAAGTCATGCGTATAAATGATTAATGAATATTCAATCCTTGAGAAAACAAGTCTCAAATAAGTCAGGTGCAAGGGCACGTGTAACACAAGCGATGTTCTCGGAATTCAAGGCTCGCCTGATACCCAATGGCCGTAGAGAAATCTTAACGTCGATATTCTAGCTAGCATTGACCTTTGAACAATCTTCATAATGATCGATAGCTTCATCTGTTCATCTGGCATCTAGCGTCCACCAAGTGGGCTGTTTGGGGAACGTAACGTCGATCATAGTATGATCGTTCGTTTAATAAATTACGTATATCATAAACATATTTGCTAAAAAGTCATTGCAAGTAAATCCTAGTGATTTCAACTTTCTGTACTGCTCCACCGGACAGGCAGAATTGTTTCCAAGGGCATTCATTATCCGATCACTGCTTCGACGGTGATTATACAGTCATTAATAAGAATCACTATATTCATCGTAGAAAATTATTAGTTGGTTTAGAAATTTTTGTGTGAAGCCAATCATGACCGTCTTGTATGTCTTAGTTCAATTTGTCTATATCGCTGAAACATGAGACTTTTTTCAATCCCGTCTTATGTCATTTGTGTTTTTATATGGAAGATCTGCGAACTGAATGTTACACACGCCTATAGTATGCGAACCTGAAAAAATTTAAATCATTAGCTTCGACAAATTTTATCACCTTATGCCACACCAGGAGGGATAAAAATGAATCAATATCTCATTCAATTTGCACAATGTATGTATTTTATTATGATGGCTGATTTTTATTGTAGATTTTCGATTTTTAATTTATTCATTGAGTCATAATCTTATCAAATAAAAGTGGATATTCATTACAAACATAACTTCATACATAATACGAAAAAGCTCATGAAGAGTTTAGGTTACCTGAACTTGAATCATTGGCAAAAATTGAAAATGTGAGATTATCTTACGATATAAAGGATTACAAGAGAGATGTGAGTTATAACACGGGATATCGAGTTTATTTTGGAAAACGAGCGATAATAACGGTTATATGTATCCGCACACGTGCAGTGCCCTTTTTTGATAGTGACCATTGAAACCGAGGAGGAGGCGGAAAGACTTATTAAACGTTCTATCTTAACGAGGTAAGTGATCATGAGTTGGGTTGGGGAATGAGTTTGGTTGTTTAATTTCATTTTTTACCGGCGAGACAGAAACATCTATGAATTGTGGGGAATGGGAGAAAACTATGAGCAGGTGCACGAACAGGTGAAAGAAAAACCAGGACGATGGGTAATAATAATATTCATGAGATGTTTGGTTTATTTGATTTCATAAAAATAAGCTGAATTAATTTACATTTCTGCATTTCATCTAGGCACGATACGAACATAAATCCTTCAAATTCACCGTTTCTGCCTTTGGAGCTACATGTTCTTCAGATCACCAAGTTCATATAATCAATTCTTTTTCATACCTTGGATTCAAAGGTGATATTAGTTTAAAAAATCCGCAAGTGCAATTTGGAGTTCTGGAGGACTATGGGTTAGATCCGTATTTACCGGCACCACCGCCGAATCCACACACGATCTATTTCGGTCGGTTGGTAAGACTGTTCCTTTTCCGATTATTGGAAGGATCTTTTTTTTTAAAAAAATTCCGATTGATGCATATCTTCTATAGATTGCGTCAGGGAATAGAGACCTTATCAATAAGTATAATTTGAAAAAGAGGAGTTACATTGGGAATACTTCAATGGACGCTGAATTATCGCTGGTTATGGCCAATCAAGCTTTGGTTTGTTTCTACGATTGTACTCTTGTTTAGTTTATTATTTACTCTTAACTAAATTTTAATGTCAATAAAGGCAACAGCAGGTAAATTGATATATGATCCGTTCGTCGGTACCGGTAGTTTTCTTTTCACCTGCGCACACCATGGAGCATATACCATGGGATCCGATATTGATGGCCGACAGATTCGCGGTCAAGGTTTGATACCGTTCGATCAGTCTCGCGATCTCCTGTTTCTTCAATATATGTCCTGATAGCGGAAAATTTATTTAGCGAGTAAATCCGTAAAATCGAACGTCGAGCAATACAACCTTCATGGCAAAGTCCTTGACACATTAGTCTTTGACATATGCCATCATCCATGGCGAGAAAATCTTTGGTTTGATGCAATTGTGACAGATCGTAAGAACTACGATAGTTTATCTATCATAAAATTTTATTTACCAATTGATGATATCCGTTCACATTTTTCTCTTCGTATCACTAAGCCCCCTACGGCGTTAGAGCCGGTGCGAAAACGCTAGGGAGGAAGGATCCATCGAAAAAACCACTAGTACCAAAGTTGATTGATGGTATACCGGCACATAAGTATGTCTTGCATCGAATTACCCAAGTTTGAATCACATGATCACAATGTGTATCTGAATTCCACTTGTTTTCAAGGCGCGAAGATTATTACCCTCCGACAAAACCATATGAAATGTCAGAAGTGCTAGTAGACCTTTTGGAATTTTCTGCGCGATACTTGGTGATAGGTGGTCGGCTGGTGTATTGGCTACCAACTATCGTAGACGAGTGTGCTAATATTTCTGTATTTCTTTCATGCTTTGTCAAAATTCATGTTGATGTAAATCTTTGACATTTCAGATATTCAAGTGCGGATATTCCTGAACATCCATGCATGAAATTAATTTCTAACAGTGAACAAAATTTTGGGCAATGGAGTCGAAGATTGGTGACAATGGAAAAATTTAAAGAAAATTTGAAAGGAGAGCATGCAACTGTCAATGCTAAAAGTTTTGATTATTCATTATTGGCATCTCAAAAGAAGGATGAAAGTCGGGAAGGAGAAACTGATTCCGATAAACAAAACAATGATGAAAAAAAACCTGGGCATTATTTGTTCCGTGAAAAGGTTATCATTCACGTTTATGTATTTATGTTTATTTTTCTGCAATGATCGCGTGATTGAGGATTCATTCCTATTATTGTTATTTAAATTATTATCGTGAAATAGTATTTTTCATTTAAATCCGGTGAAAAAGCTAAAAGACAAGAAACATGGATAAGATTTAAGAACAAAGAGAAAGGAGACGGAAATCCTTCAGATGTTCCATCGTCATCAACCAATCAATAGGCCAGCCTGTGGTGAGTCACCGGGATTCTGCCTACCGAGTACTGTATTAAATTATTAAACGAATTACAATTAAGCGCTGCCAATTTATTTATATGTATAATATGGCATGTGAGATTAATTCTGATCGAATATAAATAAATAAATAGTGTTTTTTTTATTACATTATTCAAATAAACAGCACTTATGAGTACTGTCCAGTTTATAATTATTGCTGAGAACGTTTCGAGCACGTGCAAAATGTAAAAATAAGGTTTAAGAAAATGTTTGTCGATGTACTGTATCATTTTTTTCCCTCGATCTTCAATTTTTATAAAGTAATCTTTTTTGTAACATAACCTAATAAAGAAACAATGGAATCTCTCAAACAAGTTTATATACAGAATTGGGCAAGATCTGCACGGCCTGAATATAATCCTAATATCCAAATATATCATTTCAAAGAAGGCAGAATTTTCGCTATTTTCGTGAATTATGAAGGTCCTTCAACGTAAAGCGAATAAATTACTACAATTGTTTAATAGGGAAAAAAAGATCAATCGAAACGAATGCCATAATATTCAGTAATAGTGACTTGGGGAAAGGAAAAATATGTAATGACCCATTAACTAGAAAAGTAATCGATAGTTACAGACGAAGATGATAGTTTGAGAAAGAGTCTGATTCTGTGTCGACTTGTGATGATGATGCAAATGTAAAGATTATTAGGTGTCACCACCTTTCCTTTCTAATTCATCATTTCTATATAAACCAGAAGATAGTGAATTATTCTTGTAGTCACGCAAGCAAGAAGGTAATTCTCATTTGTTTTAATCATGCTTCGATATTTCCTTTAAAAAACAAAGTCTTTTTCAACTTCTGTATGCAGAGAAAAGGAATTCATATGGAAAAATACTTAATCACAAAGAGAGGAGTTTCTCGATGAACATTCAAATGGCCAATCAAGAAATTCGTGAAGATCATTAGTATGAGCGATATTCTCACCAGACAACTGACGCGTAAACATTATCCGCGAGATAATAATGAGGTATTTAAGAAGCTAAAATATAAAAAGGGAGAATAATGTGTGCTTTTTGCGTAAAGTTTATTTTTAATGTTCATATATAGTGTATTGTTTTTAAAAAAATCTACTTACTGATAGAAGGAAATTATAAAGGATACTGATGTAATTTTACAGACTCAGCATAACGCCAATTTGTTGTTGAAAGATTTCTCTAACTTTCTAACTACTAAAATTTCAGCATAAACAAGACATAAATGTAAACTTGTTCCTTTATTTAATTCAACTCCTGCAAATCATAAATGCAATATTCTAAGAATGACATTTTCCAATCAAAGTTTAGCAGAAGGAAATAACAAATGACATTATTAAATGGTAATTTAATTAAATGATACACAAGTAAAATTACAACTAATTTCTATACTTCAATGTAATAAGAATCTTAATGATTACTTTCTAGATGATGGAATAAATACAAAAAAAACCTTTATAACTCACTAATTTATAATATCTTACAACAAAATGACCTAATTTATCATTTAACCTATTACATTCTGAAGTTTCAATCATACCCACCACGAGGACATAATATCAAATGAAAAAGCTACTAATCATCAACAACCTCAATTAACAATGGTTGTGTATCAAAATACATTGTTCTTGTAAAAACATCTTCACAGTGATACAAAAACTTGAAATCCCCTCTTGAAAAGAAGCACATTGGTAATGTGTATGTTATTGAAGATTTTGCCTCAATCTGTAATTAGGAAAACAAATAGTGATTAATTCCAATCAAAGTATACAAAGCTTTTACGATGATATGTACCTTTGGTAATGGAGACTGCAATAATCCATTCCACACCATTCTCCTGGATAAATCCCATTCCATTACTTCATCAGTATAACTTTGCACTGGCTGAATTCTTATGCATAATTTACTTGATTTTTCTAATGATAATAAAAAAAAATTCATTGTCATTCCTTTATCCTCGACTCATGCGAAGAGAAACAGTGAAACAAACCTTGATTGTTGTGAATAATAAAATTCACTTTCACAAATTTATTCACTGGACACCTGAACTGATTACATGATAACTTTGACACCTTTTGCGCCTCTTCAATTTCAACCCCAAATGAAATCTCATTAACCTTCAACACGTTAAGCATGGACTTGTTTAGTCTTAATGATCTGATGTCAACTGTTCCTTTTTGGTTAGTTAATGGCTGATCAATTGAAGTAAGATTATGAGTTAAGAACATGAAAAATATTTTTTACATTGTGAAGTAGAAAAATTAATAATTTCACAAGGATACGCATTTCCAATATGCCTTGACCTTTTTTAATAGATTTTCTCTGTACCAAAATAGTGCCAATTGCGTGTTTTCTTGTTCAAGAGATCTCCTAGGTTCTTTTGAAACAACAAACTGTTTTGATGAAGGAATTGGTTCTGTGTATTCCCTTTCGGAAAGGAAAATTTTTCTGATGGGAAGTAGAATTCTGAAGGAAAGTAGGTGAAAATGTGAGCGCTGTAATGTGGAATTGGTTTTCAGATGCTTATACCATTCTTACCGTGATGTTGCAGATGGTTGAATGGTAGAGGTAATACATATTGGATCAAATTCTTCTCCTGAAGGACAAATAATAGAGTAAAATTTGTTATATTTTTTACAGTAGAACCAATGATAATCACATCACTAATAGTCCACCCTGTACCTTCATTGGCCTCAATAGTTACATCAAAACCAATATGCCAAACATTCCTTATATCAAAAGTTAATAGACAATAATCGTTTTCCATTATACTCTTATGATCTCCCTTTGTTTTCTTATTCCATCTCACAAGCTTGATCAAATCTTCGATTAATTCAGTGTGATAAAAACCATCAATAGTATCATTAGTCCCATTGATATGTATAGGATTATCGGGAATATTTAACGGAGTGAAATTTAAAATATCCATGGAAACAGGATCTAGGTTCTGATGAACAGTCAGAAGGACAGGATAATAAACTTGTCTGGTATAGAAAACATCCTTGTCATTATAATCTGGACGCTTTAGGTACCCATAGTCAATTTGTATTGTACCACTGACGCTGTAAAGTATTTCTATCATTATTGTCGATATTCAAGACTAATTTCTCGAGTAATTAAAAGCAAAATCACCTACCACCCACGCTTTCCATATAAAATAATGGTAAGAGTGCATTCTTCAGCCGGTAATATATTGAAAGGAATTTCCGACTGTTCCCAGGAAAACACTGGTTGCTTGTGAGCATATAATTCCATCTCGTAGGCTTCTTCAGCCGGAATATCCGATGATTTCAGTAAGGCTTGGGCGGCAGCAATTGTTGAATCTTGAAACGACAGACTTATATAGTCAACCGGAGTTTTTCCTACATTCTCAAGCTTCATTGTCATCTCAGTCCTAATGATTTGAATTCAGGTTCAATATATAATACATAAACACACACACATATATATATATATTATAAAGGTACCTTTCTCCTTCGAACAACATGGCAGCTCCATGCATCAACGAAGTAGATTTAATTTTCACCAAGGGTTGATCGACAATTACTGTTACCTTTAGGAATTCAGAAACATATTCTTTTTGTTCGGCCTTTGTTTGATCAGCCGATTGTAAATCTTATTGATAAGATTCAAACTCATAGTTAGAACTCGACACGAAGGAAGTTTAAAAAGGAGCTTTATTCGAATTACCTCGACGATCATTCGACCGATTTAATACTGCCAATCCACTGAATTTTAAATAAATTAATTTATCAAAACATCGTGGATAATATAAGAAAATAATTCTATACAATAACATACCATTTTTTAATCCTTTTGCTATACTCTTCTTCCCTTTCCTTCTTTTTTATTTCTTCCTCATTGGGAGGTAAGTATACGCAAAATTCCTGTTCCAAACATCCGTGAACTTTTATCTTACAACCTCTAACAATTAATTGGCCAGGTTCTGTTGGAGTACCGGATATACGTAGTGTCACCGACGTGTTAGCGGTTATAACAGTTACCATAGGATTAGGGACAAACCCCACTCCTTCCGTACTGTGAGAAAAATGATATCAGCAAATTTCCTAAGATTAGATACAACAAGATGGAAGATAAGTGGCAAACCTCACGGAAATACTCTGAATGTCCAAATCGAATGAAAACGGATTTGCTAAGGTGACCAAGAAATATGCCGCTTCATTTGCAACCAAGAATGTCTTCAATTTTAATCGATCTTTGGTTAGTACAAAGAATTTAAATTTCCAGAGATACACGGACAATTAATTGAGTACCTGTATTGTTTCAGCTTTGGCTACATTGAAACTTTTGTAAAGGAAAGGGTCAGCCGGTTTCTCAGTATCATTTTCTATGCCTTTTCCGGGGTGAGGATAAGGAATTCTTCGAGAGGTAGGCCTTTCAGATTACATTCACCATTATTAGTATTAAACTAGATCTCGCAGAAATTTAAATACATTCCAGAAGATAACACATGAAAAACACATACCGACATACTTGAATACCTCGGACAATATTCAATCCCCAATACTTGAACTCCATATCCAATCCTTGTTTTTTACCTGCATTAACGACCCTTGGCAAAGAGCTTGACAGACGGAGCTGTTCTTCCCTCGGCAAATACAAAAATAATTTTCGCAAAAGTCTTGTTGTATACTTGACTATGGAATGGTAATCTGAGAAAAAAGTTATAAAATTTAGAAAGACATTACAAATAATGATAGGTATGTACAGTTAGGCGAATAATAGAAATCAACCAGGTAATGCTTCAGTCACCATTATGGCATCCTTTAGGACGTCCATTTGAAGATCTGGCCACCCAAAAGCGAGAGGTCTCGCATCTTCAGTCACCACTGAAAAATCCTCACTATCTACGACATCTCCAACGCCATAAACTTCAGTCACCTTCTTCAAGCATTCTAATAGGCCTCCATCACTTCCAGGTAGCGGTTTGTTCGGTGCCTGTGAACCAGACCGAGGTCGGGCAAGTAGTGGCGTTATCAATAATGCTGTCTGCCGCAAGAAAAATGCATGTTTCCTGCGAAAGTTGATTATTGAAAAAATAGTCGAGATCGTGGTGGTGATATGAATCTGGGGTGACAAATAATAATCAAGTTTTCTTTCAATAAAAATATAAAGATCTTTCTAAAGATTTCAGACAAGCTTTAATAATACCTGTTCTGTGATTGACATATCCTCAACATATGGACCGTAACCTTTCATTGCCCATTGGGTGACCTCAACTTTAGATACATTACTTACAGGACTCAACCCCCACTTTTCATATGCACCCTTTTCCGGAAGTCCACCATGAACAATCAATTTCAGTGCATCATCACCCCATCCTCCGCAAACCCAAATACTAGCCAACATCTTTGCGATCTTTAAACACGCCTCTGTATAAATTAATGGGGGTACTTGGTTACTAGATGAACTCGTGGTTTTCGCGTAAAGTGTGACTACGGTAACATATTTATCAGTTATGTCAGCCCAAAGAGCTTTAGGGGACTCAGGTGCGGGAGCAGGTGGTGAATTTGGATTCGGTGACGGAGGAGATTGAATAAGAATATGCGACTATTATTATCGGAATTCCAAATTAAATTAAATCACCGTAGTGTTCAAGAAGTTTTCAATGTTACACTTGTACGTAAATAAGTTCCTACTTCGACATCGGTATGCAGATATGCAGAAAGAATCAATCCCACACACAAACCCTCCAAAGCGGAGCCGTGCCACAAGTAATCTCCATTGGCCCTTGTTGTTTCAATCGCCATTGAATAACTGTTGGCCCGAAAAAAAAAGTTAAACAATATCCTCGTATTATTATTACATGATACAACCTAGTAATAGTCAACCTACTGTGATACGGCATCAGGTAACCTTCCAGCCATCAAGTACAAATCAGCAATTAACTTTTGACTTCTTCCGAGAGCTCGCTTCTTTACCTTGATGTCCGATACAGTGCTAGGAACATTAGCAGCTTGAGTTGCGATATTCACTATTGTAGACGAAGAAAACTGTCGACCATGAAAGGGACTATCTTTCGGATTAGCACCAGCAGTTGTTCCACCCATTCCGACAGTGGTCATGGCTTGAGATGGAGGTGTAAGTGAGGGAAGTACTGGTGTGCCATTTTGCATTATTCCGTTAAAAGCAGATGAAGTTGATGTTGGAATCTTTGGTGAATATATTATTGACTTCTTTTCGATTTTCGCTGCCTATCAATTAAATAAAAAGAGATACCTCGTAATTGTCACCCTACTAATAATGTAATTAGGAAATACACAAAGTTAAATATTGACCACTAACCAGATTTCCAAACTCCGTGAGGATGTTATTGGCATAATCCGAAATCATGGTGCTAATATAGAATTCCATATTTCCAACGTTTGGAATCATTATCAAGCCTTTTGTGTCATCGGGTTGATTTTCTGATGGATCGAACGCGAAGCAACGGTTGGAAACGGCTGTTGGGTACTTACAGTAATGACATATTAATTACCCATCGTGTTGCAGAATTAACGTAAATTTCAATAGGAAGAAAAAAAAATTTTTTTTAAATAGTCAATTGGATTTGATCAGCAATTTCCACATACGTTTTTTAATATGTCCGTAAATTTTTTATAGCCATCGGTCAAGTTCGTCCACTCTCCACAATCCATGATTCCAATAACCTGGTGTATAAACGATGCGATTTCAATTTTAAAAAAGGAGATAGCGTAAGCGACGGATGTAACACCAATCCTAAAATGAACTCATACAACCACATACCCCAAATATCCTACGATGCATTTGAAACTCCTCGAGATAAGAGTGCTCCGATTCATAAGAAGTTACAAAGTTAAAGAGCAGCTGACCTTCATGAAAGAGCTGTGAGCTGAACATGGCTGCAATGATTTGTTTTGTTGTATTTTTGATACATTGTTATCAATTAACCATTAAAAGGAGAAATTTTTTTGAGTAGAAGCAACTTTTAAACAATCCACAAAGAATTTCGAAAATGTATTTCTCATGATTCTTTGCAATTGCATAACCAAGACGTTCATAATTTGAAATGTTCATTTATTGACACCTTATAGGTTCTTTCAATGTTCTCTTCAACCGATCGATTTTAAAGAACCCTTCACCCGAAAAAATTGAACATTACACTTACAATGAACACCACGCATATCCGGGGTAACATCTCCAAGTTTGACGACGGTGAATTTCTTGACCAATTCAACTTTTTGACGGAAAGTTGTGGCTTTAATTGGATGAACGGGAACGAGAAGTATGCGAATGCGGGCGGGTGCGGTGAAAAGGAGAGGATCCATCGTTTTTTAAATAAGAAATGCGATAAATCGAAACCGAAATTAATTATGCATAAATACGGATTTTCCACATCCTTTTTTAGAAACCGATCACATGATAGAACGACATACAACATCAGATATAAAAGTTGAGAAAATGTTAAAATGTAATTTTCCCACATTGGAAAATGGCAGAGTCGAAGGAAGTAGATAGTGTGCCTTTCCAGAATGATGCTGATAATAAAGGTGTTCAATCCTCAAATAACGAAGAGGCTAGCCCGCCACCAACGCAAGTAATACCAGAGGTTGAAAAGAATACAACGGAGATTGAAGATAGGTTTCGCGCTATGTTGGAACGACCGAAAATGACCCCTGAAGAAAGAGAAAAAAAAAAGCAGGAGCTAATTCGTAGACAAAAGGAGGCTCGTCAACAAGCTGTTGAATTGACACCAAAAAGTACCGTTGTTGAATCCAGAGAAGATTTAATATCAAAGGCAGTCAATTTTCTTTCCAGCCCTTCCGCTATTAGTGCAGACGAAGAGAAGAAAATTCAATTTTTGCTAAACAAAGGATTGACAAGGGAAGAAATTGATATTGCCAAGGAACGAGCAGGCACATTGGTAAATAACTGTTATTGTATGTTCTAAATTAAAAGCAACAGTAATTCAAATATTGCCAATTTTTCGAAACGTCAAAAGAGTGCACCACCAGCAGTTCCTCCACGAACCTATCCGCTACATGTTCCCACAGTAATGCATGCTCCTCCGATGACTGTAGCGAGAACACCAATGTGGAAGAAACTTGCTTATATGTTACTTATTACTGGTTCTTTTAGCGCCCTTATGATAATAGCGATCAAGGTGATTTTATAATTCTTTATGAATTTACAGGGTCGATTCAGTTAATATTTATTTTCCATTCTATTTCCCTTTTAGAAATTGCTTGGTCCAATGGTGACCGCAGTCATTTGTGCGAAACAGCAACTTTATTCTCATCAACTTTCTCTCCTTAGAAAGTTCAACGAAAAGCTATCATCATTCGTGACATTATCAAAAAAGGATTCTATCGGGTCATCGCGTTTAAATAAGATAAACGAGTTAGATGACGACGAAGATAACGACTTGACAACTTTAGAGAGTAAAGTGAACGAACCACCGTCTTTGTTAGCACCACTTTCAACAGATTTGTCAAACTTAAGCGAACAAATATACTTGCACCAACAAAATTTATTAAAAAGTGAAGCAATGGAGGATTTGCAACATTCGTTAACATCATTAACAACTTATCTCTCGACAAACGTGTTTACATTTACAAGCTTGTCGACTGCTAATGAGGACGTGGAGCAAGTTAAAAATGAGATTAGAAGCATAAAAGGATCGTTGATTGGGCGTAGCAATTTTCCAAAAATTCCATTACTAACTCGTTCCGAAACTCAACCACCATCCTCACCAACATCTTTGTATCCACCCAAAAGATATCAGCCAATATCGTAACAAATCTTTAAACCTTGATAGTAATAATGAAACATCATAGTTTAACTATACGTTGAATGATATGGAACGAAGGAAAACGAAGTCCGATTTGATATTTACGGATAGTGAACTTATGCAATGAAATTTATTTTTTTCGGATTTATAGCATGGAGGAACTTCGGATTTTAAATGTATAATAGCATAACTTAAATGATGTATATATGTGAATACAAATGTTCTTTTATAACGGCATTTGACCCAATGTGTAATTCGTAGTCTTAATGTTTAAAATAATGTTGTCGAAAATGCATCAATTTCGCTAAAAAAATTTTCCTGATCGTTAACTTTTTTGGAATCACGTACGGAATATACACATAAAATTAAGTTTGTATCACCAGAATAAACATTAGTAGTCATGTCATCTTACCATTTCTTTGAAATGGTTAAAAAAAGAGTTAATAAATTTCGAGCATGGAAGAATTATCAGTTTTCATGAAACTAGCTATCCAAGAGAGCAATTGTAAAAAAAATTGAAAATAGTAAGATTACAATTCATAATATTATATTATTTTTGTTGTCTGAAAAAACAGATACTCAAAAAAAAATGAAATACTATAACAAGCATTATTTTAAAACAATAATCATTATTCTATATAAAATAAAATATTATAATTAAATAGTTCTTAGAAAATTTTTTATTAGTAAAATTAATAGGAAAATTTAATTTAATTAGACATGTAAAAGATATTTGGAAACAGTTAATGATCAGAAAAAAGTAAGATAAAGTAATAAATCAAGGTTTATATATTTAAAAATCCATATACTGTATAAAGGTTTCTAAAATATATATATAATTCTACTTGTATTGTTTTTATTATAAAATATAATAATAAAGAATTATATTATAAAATTACTTTTTTTTTTTATTTGAGTTAAATTCTTTAATTAAAATTAATAATTATTTTAATAATTAAAGTTATATAAAGAACATTGTTAACTATTATCTAATATTAATTTTAAAAAATTTAAAAAAAAACAATAATAAATATTTTTTAAACAAGATAATATAAGAATTTATATTAGTATATAAATATAAACCTTTATAAAAAAAATAATATTTTTTTTATTATAATTAAATATTTATAATATAAATTTAAATAATATAAAAGAGTAAAAAAAAGTCAATCAAAAAAATTTCAAAAAATTAATAACTTTTATAAAAGAATATTAGTTATAAATTTTAAGTATATTTAATATTTAATATAAAAAATCAAATACAGTAAAAGTTATAATAAAGATATACAATTGTATTTGACTAAATATTAAATATTTATAAAAAACTTTAAACTTATTTTTTTAATTTTTTTATAAATTAACATCATTTTTTTTTTTCGGGTGTAAAGATGCTAGTAGCATATGATCTTTTATTAAGTAATTTATATCCAATTACATGACTACAAGATCCATTTAAGTTAATCTGCCCCTTCACCTATAGCCTTATCCAGTTATACAAGTTTACCACCACAGGGGTGGGCCCACATATTCAGGTGTGATCTTTAAGAGATAGAAATATTACTATTAATTTATAAACTATCTAACCGAATCTAGAGCCTAACAGTTGTCATTGAAAGTGTATACCTTTCAGGATTGATTAGAACATTTAGATAATCTGTTCAATACTCTTCACTTGGGGCCTTAAAGAAGATATTATACTTGTTGTCACCATCTGTAGCTTTCGTTTATACAACGAATAGTCCAATCTTCTTTTAAGCAAGTGCCAGATTGGAATAGTCTCAAGTTAGGAGATTCTTGTGTTACAAAGTTTGTCATGCCAGTGGAGTTTGTGGGCTTTTTTTTTTTTATAGGAGTTAGACCATAAGCCTTTCATTATGTAACCTTTCCTGTTTTGACCTGTTTTCAGTCCACGATTGTCAGAAAGACCAGAGGTCCTATATTCATACAACCTAACTGAATTTGGTCAAGATTCAGATGTTTGGATACTCTATATGTAGAAAAACTGATAAACCTGTATACAGATAAAATTTTTGCATTTGCCTCCTATGGGTATTGAACTAGGGACATGTATTTGAAGACCTGGGAGTACTGTAAATATTATTTTTTTATTTATTTGTATAATAATAAATATATATTATAAAAAAAACAATATCTTTTATATGTATTAGTACAATAAGTTAAATACTAGCTTGCCTATAGTAACTACTAGACTAATATTGAAAAGAAATTTTAAAACAATATATCTCATCAAGCAGCTTCAAACAGCTATAATTATCTATTTAACATTGAGTGAAAGGAAGTTAGACAGATTTGTGATTAATTTGAAAATGCATTTAATAAAGTTAAATTCACTTTGAATATATAAGTTAACTATAGTAGTAGATACATCTATAATAGTTGATGTTAACATAAAGTTGTTACTGGATGATTTAGTTTTGGTTTAGTCTTTAGTGATTTGTTTTGATATGTTACCATGAAAATTATTGTTTCATTTAATACCAATAAAAAGTAAGGTGTTTGCTATAGTACAATAAAGTATTCAAATTAATTTGTATAAACAAACTAAGATTTCAGTTAAAACTTCGACCCAATTAGAAAAGTTAGTTATGAAGAAGATACTATTCATAATATTATATGCCAGCTTTATTAACTGCCAAGCATATATGATTGACTTGCAATTGCTATCAAGAAAAATTTAAATAATTTATTAAATATATATATAGTATATATACTTTTAATAAAAAATTTATTATATTATTATATTATAAATAATAATTTAATTATAATAATTTAAATTTTATTAGTTAGTTTTAAACTTTTGATTAACATGTATAGTTATTAAATATGAAATTACAAAAATAATTTTTAAATATATAATTACTATATATTCTAGAAAATTATTATTTAATTTTATTATATAATATCAATTTAATAAATATAAAATGTATAATTTTAGAAATAATCATTTATATTGATTTTAAAATTGTAAATTTTTTATTTTTTATTTTTTTAAAATGCACAAGTGATAATTGTCTAGCTGGATATTTATTCCTTATAATGATGTTTACATATACAGTGATGATCATAATTTTTTGGACACCTCACATGTGACTTTGATCATGTGCTGTGGCTTTGCCACAATTACATATAAGACTCAACTTGCATAAACAAACTTTGTGCTGTATAGAAAAAGTATGTAGCGTTTCAATATCAATTATATAGAACCTATTGGGAGAAATAGATCTTAGAATGCAATGATTGGCAAAGAAACAATAACATGAGGCAATTTTACACTTATGGAACAATAGTGTATAGAGTATGTGGGAAATTCAACAGAGAACTAGCATTAGTCACTCTACAGTATACTACAACCTTAAAAGGTTAACAAAGGTAAGCAATTTGGGACAAAAACCAGGTGCAGGAAGACCAAATAAAATTAATAACCATATTTCGAGGGTCATAGGTCAGTACATTCAGCATAATCCAATGGCTTTTATGGTTTGTATAGTTCGCAAACTTTCAGAACAGGGTATTACGGTTTCTAGGCATACAGTTTGGAGATATCTTATTAAGCACGGTTACAAAAATTCTCTTCTACTTGCAGTCCCAATGCTAACACTTAAGCAAAAAAAGAACAGAATAGAATGGGCTAAAAACCACCTTCATGATGACTGGTTCCAGACTTTATTTTTGGACGAAACATCATTCCAACTGTTCCGGAACATGATCACACAGTGGTATAAGCATTCTAGACTGATGTTGAGTGTTCCTAAAAACAGGCAAAAAAGTCATTCGTGGGGTGGATTTTTGATCTGTGAAAAAACAAGTCTTTATTGTTTCACTGGTAACATGGATACTGATTTTTTCATCAAAATCATTGAAAAACAACTCCCCGAGATCAAAGAAATGATGA